TCTCTCTCTCTCTCTCTCCATCTCTCTGTCTGTCTTTCGCCGTTCCGCGCTTTCCATTTAAGGAACAACCACCTTCTGCTCCTCTCGGCAGCCGTAGGCGTCTCGAGGGCTAAAACCAATAACGCTAAGACGCCCTCGAGAAAGCGAGTACATCCCCCCGAAAGTACCTCGCATACCGGGGACGTGCGGCCGCGAACGAACACTAATTTCCTCTCGACCTATCCTTGAGTTAGACGTCAGCTACCGAGCTGGCTGAGCGCGTCGTTTCTCTTCAACTCGCTCGCCGTCCTTGATTAACGCCGCGAGTCATTGTCAGTTCTCGTCACCTGTCGTCGTTGTCGTGCGCTCCCATCGGGAACAGGCAGTTTATCTTGCCACGTCCGTTTTCCCATTTTTAAGGAAAACGCGAATTATCGAATGTTTGCCCGGGAACAATATAACATAACTCTAGGTACATGCATTATTATACATGTATATGTATATCGTTGGAATTTTTTCTGCCAAGGAAAAAAGTTGATTCTTTGACAAACAACGATAATTCACATATCTCTCTCTCTCTCTCTTTCTTTTCGAGAGTTTCTAACCGAATTGAACGGATGGCAATATCGTCTAGATATCAGAAAAGAACCAATGAAAGGTGATTGAATCGTGGTCGGAGAGTGGTGGGAGAATGTTTAAACGTGGCGTATTCCACGGAGAAGATGAACAACGGCGCGGATGCTTGGGTTTTTACACGTTCGCAGGGACACCGTCGTCGACCATTCGCTTCTTGCGAAGAATTTTACCGATGATGCGATTCAATTGACGGAAAAACTCGCCGGATCGGGAACAATTAAACCGCTTCATCATTGTCCTGTCATCCCGGCGACGAGGCCAGGCGCGAGAGCGTTTTGTCGCCGAAGGACGACTAGTCGGTTTCGTACGATCGTCCCGCTCGATTTCATCCTCGACGCGAAACGCGACAGCTACAGCGGCGATCTATACGTTGCGCTTCTGCTCCCGTAGAAAGAACCTCGGTTTCAGCCTTTGCGTAACGAATCGTAGAAACCGTCCGGGGATCGTTCTCTTTCTGTTTTGCTCGGTTGGCTCGCCGGTCACGTTGCTTTTAATTGCAGCCGGTGTATCGGTGTCGATCCAGCGGAAAGAGAGAGAGAGAGAGAGAGAGAGGGAGAGAGGGAGACGAGAGGGGCCTGGTTTACGCTTCGAATTGGTTCGCAGGCAATCGATGAATTGTCCTCCCGGAGTTCCGATAAATTCCCTCCGGATTGGTGGAAAAAGAAGGGGAAAGACGAAACGTGTAAATAACGTTCGTCTTGCATCGACAAGCTCTCTCTGACGAATTTAGCGAAATCATCTCTCCTCCTCGAGAGAGAAGCAACTAAAAAACCGTTGGATCCCGCTCGGTCATTCGACCGATTCAATCTCGCCGCGATTCAAATATCATGTACGTCCTAATGTTCTTGCGAAGGGAGTGTCGCCAGTTTTTGCCGGCAACTTTGTCCCACTCGCATCGCGGAGTCGCGGCTTTCGCACTCAGGAGGTAAAGAAACAAGAAGGTACCAGCTTGAGAAACGCCCCTCGCGTTTCTTTTCTGTCTCAATCGGCAGGAAAGTATTTCCAGAGGCGGTGTTGCATGATCGGCGGCGACGGTATTGGAACACCGTATCGCTGGATGTGTTTGAAAGATACGAGTTAGACGGTCGACGAGATCGCGCCAAGAAAGGAGACCGTTTCCAATGGATTCTTGGAAGCGAGGAGCAGGAGGAACGCTCGGGATCAAGTCCTCATAAATTTATCGATCGTTCTTGCAAAACCCCGCGGAGAGCGGCGTGAACGACGACCAGGGCTTTTTTCCCCCTCGTTCATCCAAGGTGAATAGAAAGTAATCAAGTGTCTCGCGCGAAACGAAATCCGCGAAACGATGCCAGATACTTTAAACTCTTGCCGTTTTCATCCGTGATCCGCAATGGTTCGTTGTTCCATCGATTGCGACGATTGTACGATAAGGGGAAATCTTGCGACTTGGAATAGTTAGGATTCATTTGCGATTATTTATTCATTATGAGCTCTGACTCACGGTATGATCGCTGTTTCACTGCGAATTAATCAGCCACTGCAATTCACCAGAGTAATATAGAGAAATACTGTCTCTATCTTGTACAGTATTTCGAACAAGTATAGCTTCCAGTATATAAATGACTCGTCCGTGCGACGCATGTCCAAAGCATAAACTGGAAATTCTTCTTCGTCGTTTCCACGTAGCGACTCGTTTCCATTACCCCGACGATTATGTATGTAGAGGGAAAGCTTGCGACTTGGAATTCTACCTGGAGCGTACAGATCAACGATATGATCGGACGAACTCTGCCTCGATATCGATATCGTTTCGAAAGCGAAGGCTCTACAGAGGAAAAGCTCGTAATTTGGAATTCCGCTGGCGTACGACCGTACGTAGCTAGAGCTATAAAGCTTGGCCGATAATTACGAGCTCTTGGACACGATGGCAACGATCGGCGGGAAACCGCGCGAAGTGAATCGTACTCACGGTGAATCGCGCGCGGTGTCGCATACGTGCAATGATCCGACCCGTTCTTAAAGCGCCACTAAACTTGCGCGTCACGTTCCTTTTAATTACGTCTGCCAGCGAAACGACGGACGCGAAACGGCTGCAGGGGAAGGGAAGTACTCGAAGGAATTCATTAAACGATACTCTGGAACAAACGGCGAGCTGTGACCAGAACCGAACTGGGACAGGTGCTGTATCATACTCGCTCGAGAAGCCGCGAGCTCGGCCACGGCGTTCTACGACGTCGTCGCTGTCGATCTAAAAAGGCAGTTACGTTATTTTTGCAATCGCGCAGCTGCCTGCCGAAGCTGTGTCCAATTCTCTGCTCTTCTGTCCGTGAAACGAAATTGGAAAGGACGGGCTGGTGGCTGGAATAAAGGGATGCTGTCTCGTTCGAGTCTTCTGGAAGGGAGTTTTCAGAATGGAAAGGAGAAACTTATCGTCAGACGTTACAGATCATCGATAAATGTTTTATCCCTAATATTCAACATCGGATAGGAAACTCGATTCTCCGTTCTATCCGTGAAACGAGGTTGGAAAGGATGGATGGAATAAAGGGATG